TTCGGCGCCGCTCGGCTCACTTCGGCTCTGCTCATGACGTCACAGCGGGGAGAGTGGCGGGGTGATGATTCGCCTATTACGCGAGCGCTACGTTACCGCTACGTGCCGCTGGGGAGGTAGGGGTCAACATGTCACACTATTGTTGCTGGCTAGATTGCCAGTACTTCACAGAAATTAGCAGTCACATTGGTGAGGATGAAGTGATCATGGGGCAGTAAAGAAATGTATTATTGTTCTCATTTTTTGTCCTTTGTTCTCAATGTGAGAACTGGGTTTTCTTGCACTCACCTGGCCTTGAAGACACAGACTGGCAATTGGGGTAAATGTTTCATTTTAATGTTTTACATTTCCATTTGGATAATTAAAAACTTATGAATAATTTAATGGAATAATTATGTTTGATAAAATAACAAAGTGATGAAAGTGTTCTAGTCTCATTTTACATTTTTTTTTGTGACATGCTTCTCTTCAGAGTGCAGCTTGCAGCCATTCAAAATCTGAAGTAAGTTTTTGAAAGGATAAGGAACGGTCCACCAGGCATACATGCTGCACTGTACTCGTGAGTATAATTGACTGCATACATTACTGTAAATCAAATTATCTTGAAGTATAATCTGTTTCACAGTCAGACATCTGATCGAGTTATCTGTGTAACTGGAATCTTCAGTCAGTTTATTATGGTGAGCATGATCCTGACTTGAGAGTTATTTTAAGGTCTCATTTGACTGGACATGTGCAATCACAATGTAACCAATATTTGAGTACTGAAAATTCACACAATATAAACCAAGTTCTACTCCATGATGTAGAAAGCTGGTGTATGGTGTATCCTGAGTGTGAACAGGATTACAGCCTGTGTGCTTAATGAAGGCATAATTCATTTTGAAAAATATTTAGGGCATATTATTTTTTTTTTAATTTTATTGATCCAATCCTTTCCCTGTAAGGCTGGATATAAAATATGTCACATATTACAAATTCATGACAACTAAACATCACACATCTTAGGTCCAGTAGAGTATATAAATGAGGCCTCATGCAGACAGCACAATTTGTCAAGACAATATACATAAGCTGTGGAAACACCACTGTCACATTTGATCCTGAATAAAATCTTTCATATTTCCAACTATAATAATTCTATATTGCACAATTGCACTCTTGGTTATTCTATATACATTGGCCAACTATATTATCAATTCTACAAGTAATCTTCATTCTCTGACATTCCCACAGTTTTGCTCTCGCCATAACTGACCAAGCAGAAAAGGACGCAACCCATGTAGTGAGTATACATAGTGGAAAGGCCATTCCCCAGCATAACTGTCAGATATTCTCCTCATAAGAAACACATATTCACATGGCATAAGAGTTCACATCAGTATAATATCAAAATTTGTTTTAAGTGCAAAATTTCATCTTACCAGCAGTCTCTAATTGTGAGATTGACAGAGTACTAGCAAACTGGCTAATCTCAATCTGTAGCTGCCCATCAGTGTTATCTCGAAGGAAGTCAACTAGCTGAGTAAGTCGCTCTCTGCTGTAGAAAGTGCTTCTTCGAGTATCATCTTCTTCCAGAGAAAAATGGTGGGGTGACTTCATATCTGGCATGTATAAAATCAAAATTTGCAATACAATTAGTGATCACACTATAATCTCAAAACTAAACAGTTACATACCTCTTCTTGAGTGAAGTACCATGACAATACTGAAAATGACTGAGGAAGCTAGCATGGGTGGGAACATTTCTGACTTACATCTGAGAAAGACCTGTTCCTAATTTCAGCTGGAAAGACAACTATCAAAGTGAAATGTCGCCATCTGTTTCTTGTTCCCTCAATGTTTCTCAGCTTCTTGCCAGCAGTTTTGGTTGAGTGGCTAGCAATAGTGTTTCATCTAAGGAAGGCCCAAGGTTCAAATCTCAGCCTGGCTGTTGTGACTTAAGTTTTTCACGATTTTCTTCATCCTCTTTAGGCAAATTCAAGAACAGTACCTCAAATCAGACCAAGACTGGTTCCTTCCACATTCTTTCCAATTCATTATTTACTAGTCATTGTACTATTTAACATTACAGAGTATGAACTACTGGCAGCATAGCTAAATACACAATGAATAAAATAAATAAAACCCAGTATCCAGATGGAGCAACTGTTTTGAATAATCCAACAGGTCCCTTCCATTCAAACTGTAATTCAAATATTTTGCTCATTATGCAAGGTATATCCCTTCTTTCTTGTGGCCAAGTCATTTTAATTGTTTCTCTTCTAACTCCAATAACAAATTTCTGATTCCATCCAATCTTCTATTTTCTTCCGCACTTACACTTGCTTGCATTTTTCTTTCATTTCCCTTTCTAAGGGTCCATGTTTGGGCTTACATGTTACACGTTTAACGAGTACCTGACCAGTTCTTGTGAAGAAATGCAATGAGATATGTGTAATTTCCCACTACATGATTGGATATTTATGTTCAACATAACATAAAATTTTAACCAAGGCAACCACGTAACTACAACAATAAATGTTCACTGCACTTAAAACTGGTATCACAGATGAGCAGGAATCGTGCCTGAAGAATGCAGGTGGAGATTCCTCTCATAGCGGTTAGCCTGGTTTAGCGATGATGGTACTGACTGGAGGCCCTGAAAAGGGCCATTTTGTTAGCTGAGTCGCAGCCAGGGGTTGCAAGCCAATTGGATAGCAGCGAGCGACGGAGTCTCTGGCTGGCACTGTTACAGTGCATGCGCTGGCAGAGTCGGATGTCTACTGGCGCTATTATGGTGCATAATGGCAGTGGTGATTCTTGAAGTCAGTGTAGCTATGTTGGCTGTGACTGGTGAAAGACTGATGCTGGTGTGTCCAAGGCCCACAGCTTTGTACTTATGCTGCTAGGCGGTGTGCGGCATGCGGGATGAAGCTGCAATTATGAGTGTGGATAGCACTTGTGTTGGTGTCTAGGGAGCAAGGCTGCAAGTGATGTGTAAATATTGCCTGTTTTCGATGCACTGCAAGTTGTCTGTTATGCATCATGGGAGGTTCCCACAACCCTATTAGCTTTGGAATCTTTGCTTTACATTCATTGTAATTACAAGTAATATATAAAGCTGTTAAATGTAAATAGCCAAATGTATATATGAATGGACAATTATTTCATTTCCTTAAAAGAGGACAAACATTGTAACCTGATAGGAGTGCTGAATCAAACACTAACTTCTAAGAATCTGTGACAATGGTATATCAATAGAACTGCTGTGTTTCTGTACATTATCCATTGCCCTGTTCTAAATAATAGTTGTACGAATTACTTATTTTCATTTTCTGCTCCAAATTATTTCTTCAGCAGCATCCTAAAGTTTGGCCATAGAACTTTGAATCACACTGTACACAACAGAGTATGACACAGAATCCAAAATATTTGACTTTAATCACTCCCTGCTTATTGTCAGCAGAGTGTTAATCTATTGTTAGTGAGAAGTGCAATGATTCTTGCATAGTCTGCAGTATTATGCCACAAGTTCTACAGCCTGAGGTGATGATAATAAAGAATACAAGTAACACAAAATTGAATGCTGATACAGGAGAGAATGGCTAATTAATTAATTTGGTGAAACATACTTGTGAAGGCTGGAACAGCAACGTGACTCTCTGGTTCCTGGTTCAGCTGCACATAGTCTTGATAGAAATGAAGGAGCTCAGGTATGACCAACTCCTGAGATACAGTGTCAAACTTCACATTGTGGTTCAGGAATTCTCTCATGCTGCTGTCCAACTGAATATCCACACTCTCAGCACACAACACCTTGAGATTTGTAAATACATAGAATACAATATATTAGAACAAGAAGACAGAAATCCACAACCTCCTGCTTCTAAGCAAGCCTGTTTCACTGTTTGTTCAATACTGAGGTAACACACAAAATTGTTAAACAACACCGATAAAATATATTTGTCATTCAAATTAACTGTGGGAGGACGTTTTGTGTTTTTATAGTACTTTAATTCATTTACACAAAACATTTCTCTGAAATCCACTGCAGTGTATCCTCCAAATAACTCCCATCTTACAGTTCTTCCTTAAACAACAACTGCTTATTAAGCTGATGAAGAAATTCCCTGCTGGTCTTGTAGAACAAGAAGATTTATCACTCACAACAAAAAGCCCATATCCTGATCCTACTGTGAGCAAACCGCTCCAACAATATGAAGCTGAGGACTGTTAAGTTCCTTGGTGTGTAACTTTAGCTATACTTTTGTTACTTCCTCTCATATGTCTTAAGACTTAAATGATGGTGAAAAGTGCAATGTGCATTTCTCATATGCATGCACACACATGCATATACATACCTGTGTTTTTGGTGACTGTTTCTGCCCATTTAACAATACAAACAGAACCCTGGGATCAACTGATGTTGAAGTTAACAAGGAGGTAGTGTCTCTTTGGAATTTTCCTGTCACAGCACATGTTCTTAATGATATTGCAGATAAGAAAGTCAGTTCACCCAGTAACAGTCCATAAACATCTTGAAGTGAAATGAAACCTAGTTTACCAACATTATAACCAACACTCAACTGAACAACTTGTCTTTCTAGTGAGTTTGATGAAAAGAGACCAAGCTTTGTGTTCCACCACTTTTCAGAATTTGCAGCACTGAGAGTACTATAATCTTTCATCCTTTCAAATGGGACTGACAAATCCATGGACTGAGGGCTTGTTTCTAAAATCAGAAGGCTGTGAATCCACATAAGATTAGCCAAATTTGTATAAAACACAAGGGTTTCATCACCTGGAACAAGTAGGTCTAGATCAATTACACTCAGTTCACAAGTACCTGCCAAAACAGCCTTCACAAAAGCATTTTTAGCCAAAACAATTATGTGTTCTCTATTTAAAAAATTATTGTTTTTGTTAGTGAAATTGCCACTCTGCTCTTGAATTATGTGAAGAACATCAGCCAGCAAAGTTCTGACAGTAACTTCTGGATGTCGAATTGGTCCACTCCACTGCTGTACAGAAACAAAAATATTATTAATAAGCCATCTAAAAACCTTCTATTCATACAATCCTGTTTGATGGTTATGAGAGATTATTCATCCATCTGTATAAGACACTGTACCTTTTGCTCATTCTTCAGAATCAAATTTTGACAACATGTAGAACATAAGATTATTCAATAAAAATCAAAAAGACTAAAACAGCCTTAAAATTGCCTTATTAATAGGTTACAAAGAGTGCATTAAATTTTATATGGAACTCATATGCTTAATTCAACCTGTCATGTTTTTTTGTCATGGTGCAATCACTGGAGCAATCTTAGGCAAAGAGTACAAATTATTAAGTTCTTCTTTTCACACAACATATTTCTCTCTCAGTTCATTACCCTTAGGTCTAAATGGTGTCCCACAGGATCAATTTTTGGCCCTCTGTTATTTCTCCTTTATATCAAGGCGAAGGTACCACCATCTTGTTTACTGACAACAGCAACATTTTAATTACAAACACTACTGAAATACAGAGTGATCTTAGTAGTGCTTTTGAACAATTAAATAAGCGGTTTGAAGCTAATTTACTTTCCCTTAATTTTAATGAAACAATTTAGAATAAAAGTACATATGCATCAGACAGATGCCAGAACAGTCAATGCAGCTTATTACTCAGACCTCCTGGCAACAGACGTGAAGGAAAAGTTCCGATCAAAGCGGAAAACAGGTGGAAAGCGGGTAGACTTCCTTCAAGACAATGCATGTCCCCATACGGCCAAAACAACAATGGAAACCCTCTGGAAATTGAAATGGAACCTTCTGACACATCAGCCGTACAGTACTGATTTGGCCCCAAGCGATTTCTACCTGTTTGGAAGGCTCAAATCAGACTTGCAAGGCATGCAGTTCGTGGACGACACCGCCATCCAGCCTGTTCGTGAGTGGATACGCCGCCAACCACAAGCCTTTTTTGAAAAGGGCATCAGGATGCTTCCAGAACGTTGGAAAAAATGTGTTGACTCTGGAGGGGAGTACGTTGAAGACTGACATGTGGAAGTAAGTGTTTGGCAATTATGGTTTAAAAAAAAATCAATTCTGGTTATATTTGAACCACCTTGTAAATGCTTATGCATTCTACTACCAGTGTAATTATTCAATTGACTTCTTAGTTGGTCATTAATGACACACACTTTGTATTCTTTAACTTCTGTTATCTATATAACAAGACTTGGAACTCTCTATGTGTTGCATCCTGTTGTGTGTCATTCATTGTTATGTTGACAGTTAAAAATATACAGTTTTGAAGCACTTGGAATTGATAATTAATTCCACATTTATTGTTAACATGCATGACTTATTCTGCAACCAACAGGCTTTCCTACTGCGGATTTGTAGAATCGCACTTTTGATCTTATCCATCCTTAATCTTCCCTCAAGGATATACCAAGTTTTGGACACACAGAAACAATTAGCAAAATTAATGGACAAGAGTAAGTGCAAAAGGATGCTAAAATATAACATAGCAAAATTAAGTTTCAAATACTATATTGTACTATAATTTTTATTCTGTTGGAAATAAGGCAAGGAATTAAATATGCTGAGAGGGACACCTGTGAATCGACACAAACTATGGATATGTGTCAATTTTATTAATTTTTAACTTTTATGTGGTATTTTCTTTTCTTTACAGTTTATCTGATCTGTAAGGACAGGTGCATTTTAATGAAATTCATTTGTACATACTCACTCCTGAATTATTCAAGATAATTCTCCCCCATTTCATCCCACATTCATTTCCAGTATTCAGGGAATTCCTTGGAAATGAGTTGGGAATTTCTGGGCAACAGTTGCGGACAATGTTGTATACAAGATTCAGTTTCAGCTTTTGAGTTACAGGTTCCAAGTCTGATGGAGAAATATCACATTCAAACACCAGCTGACCCAGTAGTGCTCTCAGGCTATTGTTGAAAATGTCAAAATACTTCACAGATCTCGACGGTGTACTAGGATATGCTGTAATAAATAATGACAGTGTGGTTTCATTAGAAATATAAAAAGAGCAAAAAATAAATGTATGATAACTGGACCTTTTGTACTAAATTATGGATGGATAAATGTGATAAGAAATTTGATATTGGAATAATGAAGGAGAATTTACAAAGGTGAAGACTGAAAGGGCACTGATCACAGATAAAAGTCAGTACCTGTTGCAGAAAACTGACAAGAGCAGGCACAAACAGAGAGAGTCACAATTCTTATAAAATGATGGTCATTCACGTAATGTGTCTTTTAGTTTCAGTTGTACGAAGCATGGGCAAAATATAACTGATAGCTGGTAAAAGTAAGTAAAGTAAAGTTGTCATTGTGCTTAACTAGTTAAGCACTCTGCCATGAAGGCGTATGGGGGAATGGATGTATAGATCCACAGTTTCTTGACCTTTGCAGTAGTTGGATGTGAGTGGTCACCTTCATACCCCAGCCGCTTTACCCCTGGGGAAACAGTCGCCATACCCAATGGATAGGAGGCTAGGTGGGCCCCAGAGTCGGTCTGGATGAAGTGAAGAAGAGAAAATTCTTGACCCTACCAGGAATCAAACTCTGATCCTCTGGTCATCCAGCCTGTAGCCAGTCACTGTACTGACTATGCTATCTCGGCTCCTACTGGTGCTACTACTGCCCAAGATCATCATTATTATAATGGGCAGTGTAAATAAAGACTGCAAATGACATGTTTCATAGAACAGTCTGTTGCAGTATGAGATACCAGGGTCGGAGGAGGCGTTATGGCTGGTCTGGTGTGAACAAGGAGTTCATGAAAATTAAGTGGTCTATGGAGCAAACCCAAATGGGATGAGATAAGATGAGATAACTAATGGATGATTAGTGATCAGTGTGGTTTGACGTTTTCGCAATGTCAAAGATTTAGATTTTGGTCATCTGGGCTGTGACAGTGTATAGTGTAGTAGGTGGGTACCAATGTTTTGGAGGAACCTGCTGCCTCCATCTTCAGGGTAAATGAGATGGAGGAAGCAGTTTCCTCCAAACATTGTTAACCACCTATCAGATTAAATGTTGTCACAACCCAGATCACAATCATAATTGGGGAATGGTGGCTAAAGGCATAAAGAACAATAGTTCGTGCAGATTTTTGGACTTAATATCTGGATCTTCCACAGAATGCAGGAGCAGACGGAAAAGTGAGTATACTGATGACAGGCAGTGAATCAAGTATGCACAAAAGTACAGAACTGCCAATGGTGCATATGGAAATTAACATAAGGCAGACAACATGGGATGAGTAAGTGACACACTTAAAACTAAAGCATGCTGTATGAAGCCAAAGACTGGATTTATTCATTTCACAAACAAGTGCAGTGGTGCTCAGTGAAATAAAATAAAATTATGTCAAAATCTAAGTGACAAACTGAAAATAACTGCTCCAAAACAAGATAAATACTATATCATCTATTCATTCATTCATTCATTCATTGTATATTCCATAAATCCATATACATAGATATAGAACCAGTCACATAGTTAATATAGTACAATACATATATAAATATATATGTACAGTTTATAATCATTAAAATAGATAAAAAAAACATGTGTTAAATTTATATCAAAAAACAGTCTTACATCACTATACATAAAATTATGCAATATTAAAATTGTTTAAGCTATTATCATTATTTCTAGGCAAATTTGTTACTAAAGAATTCATCACCTGTATAAAAAGAAACATGTGTTAAATTTACAGTCTTACATCACTATACATAAAATTATGCAATATTAAAATTGTTTATGTTATTATC